TTTGTTTTTGTTTTTGTTTTTGTTTGGGGGGGGGTTGTTTGTTTGTTTTGTTTTGTTTTGTTTTGTTTTGTCAGAGGAGGTTAACATTGAAATGTGTATTCTTTGAGTAAAGCAGATTGCTCTCCATGATGTGGGTAGGCTCATAGAATCAGTTAAAGGTCTGAGTAGAACAGGAAGCTGACCTTTCCCAAACAAAAAAAGCTGCCTTCAGACCTGAACTGGAACATCAGTACATCCCGGGTCTCCAGCTTGCTGCCCATCCTGCAGATTTTGGACTTGCCAGCACCCATAATCATATGATCCAATTCCTTAAGATAAATCTCTTCTCTGTAGTAAATCTCTTCTACTGGTTCTGGTTCTTTGAAAACCCTAATACCAGAATAGAACACTGATACAAGCTGCAATGTGAGCAAACCTGGGAAACATTAGGCAAAGTGAAAGGAGCCAGAGGGAGGAAAAAAGGCTACATATTATATTGGGTTATCAGACAAGTCATGACGCATTTTTGCATAGAGAAATACATCATGACTTTTCCAATGACCCAATATGATTCTGTTTGTATGAAATGTCAAGAATCAATAAAGCTGTGAAACAGAAAGAAGATAACGGTTACCAGAGGGTGAGAAAGGTATAATGGGAATGGCTGTTCATTGGGGGTTTTAGGAGTTGTGACAGGGATGGTGGGAATGTTCTGAAATTAGGTAGTACTGATGGTTGGGCGATCTTGTTGATAAATTAAAGCCACTGAATTGTACATGTTGAAAGGAATTTTCTTGGGCTGGTTCCATGGCACAGTAGTAATACTCCACACAAGAGAAGCCAGATCCCATGTGGTAACCACAGTTTGAATCTTTGGCCTGGTCAGCCTGAAAAACACACCAGGCTCACGAGAATGTCCAAGATATGATGGGCTAGACAGCTAGAAGGGGATCATGATGTGACCAGATACTGTGAAGGGTGCTCATCTCTCTCTCATTCATAAACAAACTCTATCATGATTGTTTTTAAAAAGGTAAGCTTTCTATTGGGAGTCATCTTTCAACACAAGGGCTAGTAAAAAAAGAATAATAAGAAACAAGTAAGTAAAATACATTTTTAAAAAAGAATTTTATGGTGTATGAATTATTTCCCTTTTTTTAAAAGGACATAAAAACATAATTCAAATCATTATTTTATATTAAGTTTCTATAAGTGATGAAGTCATTAACTTAGAAAGTATAGTGAGTTGAATCACGCTCTCCCAAAAGCCATATCCTCCCAGAACCTCAAAATGTGACCTTGTTTAGAATAAGAGCCTTTGAATGTATAAGATCATGGGCCCTAAATCTAATGATGGGTGTACTCATAAAAGACAGAAAAAGAGAGACACACCAGAGAGAGGGTGTAGGCAGAGACAGAGATTGGGGTTACGTGACTAACCCAAGAATGGCCAGCAGCAGCCAGAAGCCAGGAGAGACGCCTGGTGCAGGTTCCCCTTCCAATCCTCCAAAGAGAGTCAACTTTGCCAACACCTGAAATTCAGACTTCTAGCCTCCAGAACTGGGAAATAATTAATTTCTGTTGTTTTAAGCCACCCAGTTCATGATAACTGAGCAACCTTAAGAAACTAATATGGTAAGGCCATTTTTACTGATGTCCAGAAACAGTGAAATTCATACAGGGACAAGTTTAGACAATGTTCAAAGATGGACAGTTGATATTATTCCATCTTCAATACTAATATCAGAAGTTTCCAATAGAAAGATGAAAAGTTATTTTGTGTTTGAAATCCCATAAGTGCATGGAGTTATCAATTACTGTGTTGGTAAGTTAGAGAGATCTCTATTCTCTACCAGAAGGTAGACTGAACATTCTATTTAAATCCTTAGCGACCGAATTAAGTTTTGAGTCCATCAAGCTCAAGGTCTCTCCTGAACCTTTCTTGTACCTTATCCGTAAAAGTATGTGGATCTCTTTAAGCAAAATAACACAGCAAAGTAAACACAGAAGTTCATTTATTTTCTTCCCCAGCTCTCTTCCACTTTTCATTCTAGTACTCTAGACAAGCATTGTACAGCTTTGTTTCTATTTCTCGTTCATCTGTAAAATCTGGCTTATGCACAAAGCCCTCACCATTACCACCATGAGATAGTACTACACATGCTTGAGTCATAGATTGTCCAAAGCCAAGTGTAGTGGGTCATCCTTGGGTATTTATCTTATTGCTACACTTGATACCATTGAGCATGGCCTCACTGAGAAGACGTTGCACTTTCCCTACCTCTCTCTATTTCTTTCCTCTCTTTCCTGATAAGGTTACCCTCATGCTTAGAAATCCTCCACCAGCTCCCCAGGAGCCACAGGATAGGTCTCAGCATCTCAGCACGGCACCCTATCACCCACTCTTCCCATTAGTCCTTGACTCCCAGAAACTATCCAACTGTCACCAGCAACCAATCAGACCTTCTATTCACCTGCTTATTGCCTTTGAAGGTCAAAGTTGCCATCCTCTATGTCGATCTATTGTTCCTGGGTCCAAAGCAATATTGTGCCAAATACCGAGACAGCCTTGGGAAGAGATCTCAGTTTGAAAGTCTTGGGGAATATTTAGAAAGATACAGGAGATTATTTCATTATTTGATCTGGTTCAAGAAAGACTAGATACCCATATCCCAATTACCCATATCCTGTCTACATATGATCACCTCCCTATGAATAAAAGACATTCTTCAAACACGTTAGAGTTGGGCTATGAGCTCTCCTTATTGTTCCCTGAATCCCAGTATTTTGCTTCATTTTCAAATTTCTGCCTTAAGCCTAGGATGATGAAGTTCCTTTTCCTTTTTTGTTCCATGACATCCTCCCACTATTAGTTGTCTTATCACAGGTTTCCTTTTCTTGAATGTTTCCTTTCCTGTTTCTTTGGAACTATCTAAGGGGCTTGGTTCTAACAAAGTAGTGCTCCTGAAGCCCTATAAGCCAGGACATTAGAGGAGGACCAGAGAGTCCAGTTGGGGATAGACAGCTGAGCATCCTAGGGCAGGAAGAGCAGGTGCGAGGCCCCGGCTATGCTGGCATGAAGATAAGCTGGGTAGTCTTTGGATGTAAGGAGCCAGCCCTCTTCCCCTGTCTCTCCAAACCGTTAGAGCAGGTGGTACTGGTAACTAAGCATGTTTCCTCAAGTCTAAACTTTGTTTTCACCATACATTCCTCAATCTTTTGGGAATTCTACTCTCTATATTTTCTTCCTGAAATGGTGTCTGGGTGGGAAAAAATCCATGGGGTGCTAGAAAGGTGATGCTAGCCCCCACCCTGCTCCTGAACCTTTTCTATATCAACTCTGACAAGTGAAATTTGTGATGTCTCGCCAGGCAAGGCCACATTGTGGGCATTTGCTAATTCAGGGCTTGGCTGTACCTACTACTAGACTGGAGCTTAGTAAATGCTCAGAGCCTCTGATACAGGGCTTCTTTGTCCCTCAGTTGAAGGACCACCACCACCGGCTCCCACAATGTCCTCACTAGTACACATCTTTGGCTGTCACCCATCTCTCCCCAGTAAGACAAAATGGAACTCTAGTTTCCAGGGAATCAGGGTGTGAGGTCCCTTGTCTCAGCACCTCCTGCAGCCCTTAAGCCAGGCTGGATGAAGCCAAGGCTGACTTCAGGGCTTCTCTTCCCACCTCTACACACACACACACACACACACACACACACACACACACACACACACACACACACACACACACACACACACACACACACACACACACACACACACACACACCCTAGAGTCAGTCTCATGGCCTAAAGAGTGTTGAGGATTCTTACCTCTGCTGTTTTCTCTCCAACAATGGCATCCCATCAGAAGTTTTCCCACATTCCTCTCCTACCTTTAAAATATGACACTCCCCTTGGCTATGCCTGCACCCCGCTTCTGCAGAGAACTATGCCTCAACTTGGGGACCTTGTCCTATTGACAGAAGGGCTTTGGGAAGGGAAAAGCAAATTACTCAGTATGGAAAATACATATTTGGGTCATATTTTCTAAAATATTATCCATACTACACATATTCGAGGACTGGCTTAATTCCAGATTCTTTTCCACTACTAGTCTGTTTCCAGATTCAGAAACATTCCAGAACTCGGTTTCCAAGCACCCACCTGCAGAGAAACAGGACTTGATTGTCTATTGGATTCATGGCTGGCAATCTGCCTGGGGTGATAAGTACACATTAAGTTATATAGTGTGGCCAGTGGCACCCGTACATGATATTTAAATATATTGACTCAATTCTGTACGTTTTCATTGGTTTCTTCTTTGTATTCATTAGAAGTCCAACACTTCAAATGCAGAAACTGCATCTCCCTCTTCACCCCTTTACTGCACTTGGTATAACGTGTCTGCAGAGTACAAATAAATACCGTGACCTGCCTGACTCTTCTCAACAAAACATTGGGTCCATTTTCTCATCTCTTCCTGCGCAAATTCCTATGTGGTAAGTCCTTCCATTGTCCCTGGTAGCACAATCTCCCACACTTTGAAGAAATGCTTTTAGGTGGCCAGCAAGTGATATGGTGGTTAAGGGCGCTGGACTCCCACATGGTCAACCATGGTTCAAGTCCTGAACATGGCGACTTGCTTTCTCACTTTCTCTCTCTCTTTTGCTCTCACTCTCACTCTGTCCCTCTCTGGTCAAATTAAAATAAAGGAAGTTAAATAAAAATAATTCTTTAGCAAGAAAGAAAAGGCTTTTTTTTCTGTCTTTAACCTCATCCTTTTGACTGACTTTTCACACACCAGTGAGGGCTTCACTTCAGCTATTGGAGAGACATTAAATTGCTGTAGAATTTTGATTTGTGAGATTTTTGCATTTCTCCCACATCTCTGGAAAATCAGAGGAAAATTTCAGCCTTGTTCTTTATCTGGTGTGTTCATTTCCAAGGCTGTCATTCTTTTGCATAACTTTGACAGTAACTATTAATAGCAAAAAGCAACATGGAAAGTAGCCCAGAACTTGCCTTAAGCTCATTGGTGTCAGCCAGTTTGGCTTTGAGCTCCGTGTTGGACTCTCGGCACACGTTCAGCTCCTTCTGCAGCCTCTCCACCTTCTTCTCCAGCTTCCTGATGGTAAGGTGGGCCTCATCCCTCTCCACAGCCAAGGCCGTGCGCACCTGCCTCTCCTCCTCCATCTGGGCGATTTTCTGCCGGAGCAGGTTCATGTGCAGTTCTTTGCTCTCCAGCCTTTCCCTGTGAGTCTTTAGCTGGGTTAATACAAACATGGAATTTTTTTAATAATAATAATAATAATAATAATAATAATTGAACAGTCAGTAAATATAAATGAATTACCCAGTCAATGTCACTTTATTCATACCTCAGTAAGATGAATTTCTAAACCATTACAAAAGGATTCTTTTTCCTGATTGCATTCTTTATTCTGAATTTTTTCCCCAAGAATTAACTTTGTCATTGTGATGATTGGGACAAAATAGCCACAGAAAGGGGACAAAGAGAGGCCGCTTTCAACATTTGACTACCTCCAATATTGTGTGCATAATAAAAGTGTGAAATTATTTCTAAAACTACTAAAATGGACTTATGAAGAGCAAAATATAGTAAGACGAGGAGACAGAATCAACTTCAACAGTCAACGGCCACAGCACTCGTGCCGGTGTTTTCTGAAACAAGATGGAGTACTAATTAGAACTGCAGACCTAAACTGGCTGACGCCCAGCATGAGAGCTGATACCTTTTTAAAGTATACCACAGAAATATAGAAGAAAGCTTTGTTTATGCATTTAAAATATTAGAAAAAGAATGGACTTCAAGTAGATTTTAACACGTTGCTGTCGCTGTTCTGTATCTATCTGGCCTTTAAGGTTCACAAAGCAAGTAGAGAACCAGTTGCTCAAACATCACTTATCATTGGCAATCAAACTTGATGAAGAAAATTAGAGTAATTTTTAGAAAACAACTATAGACTTTAACAGGGAAAAGTCCTCCTGGGTTCCCCATGTCACAATTAGTAAGTGGAATATTAAGTACAGGAACCTCTGTCCTCTGTGACAGACACTGATAATCAGAATCATAGAGACTTATCAAATATACAAGCTGAAGACTGTCACGTTTTCCCTAATTACCTACTTTGCCTCTGTAAATTGCCTGAAGGTGGGAATGACTTACTGAAATGAAACTTTGAGTACCTTGCCTAAAGTGACAGTAGGTCCATAACCAGACTAACCAGACCACTTTTTAGCAGGACCCTTTTAATATTTCTCTAACCAAACTCCATTTCTTGAGCTTCTTCATCTCAAATTCCACTGTTTTGCAAATTCACACTGAAACGCTCTGTATACTGGTAATTTTAATAATTATATAATCCTTACGAAGAAATGGTAGTGGGAAATGGGAAGGAAAATCAATTATCTGAGGAGAACTCTGGAAAGAAATGTAACTGAATTTAGTGTCTTTATGGCAATGGGATTTATCTGCTTTCTTTTATAAACATACTCTTTAAGATAGAATAAATGGAAAAGAGTCCAAACACAAGTGGAGAATCTTCTATGAACCAAGGGTTTAAAAATGTTATTTTTAAAAAATGAACAACCCCTTGGTAGATATTATTCCCCATCTTAAATAAGAGGAAACAGAGACAGAGACAGAGAGGTATATAATTTGTCCAAGGTCACACAGCTTGGTGGAGCCAAACTGGGTATCCAGATGGGACTCATTACACAACCTCTACACTATAATTCTACCATAGAATTTTCTCCTAAGAACTATTATAAGAATGCATCTGTGTTTTCCTATTCCTTTCCCCAGAACCAATAATTATATAACTAATAATTATATTTTATGCTTTTCAACCATTCATTCATTTATTTCATCTAAACTATTTCTAACTCTTCCTCAAGTGAATGAAAAACAAGCTCCTCACTCTTTCTAGTGCAATAGAGCTTATAAATGCAGAGACTGCTAAATATTGCCCCATTTCTCATTTTCTCCAAAAGGAATGAAAAATAAATGTTTCTAAGTAGGCAAGTGGCTACCCAGAAGAAGGCTACATTTGAAGCCTCCCTTGCAGCTAGGTTTTACAATTTCAACATATTCTGACCATGGGATACAAACACAAGCTCACCCAGCAACTGTAGGAGCCTACTTCAAAGACATCGCTTGCATGTTCTTTTTCAGTCCTCTTCTCTCTCTCTCTCTCTCTTTTTTTTTTTTGGAGAGGTTTTTGCTATAGGACACATGCACTCGTCAGAAAGACAGAGACAGAAAAGGAGAAATCCCCCCTGTGGGGTGTGTGTGTGTGTGTGGCCACACCGCAGTCCCTTCTCCTCCATTCACCTCACAGATCTTGGGCGTGCACACACACGAGCCCGGCATGAGTTTAAGCCACCAGGTCCAAGACTCGAACCACAGTTGACTACATGGGAGTCTAGCGACATAGCCATTATGCCATCTGCTGGTCCCTCAGTCCTCTTCTTTATCCCTTCCTTCAACCTTCTGCCTGGAACACAGATATAATGGTTCCAGGCACCATACTGAACCTCAGGGATGGAAAATTAGCAAGCAGAAATTAGTTTGGTTTGTGGAAGACTTAACAGAATAGAACTGCCATGCCAGTCCTAAGATGCCTATCTCCAGAAATATACATGAGAAAAGAATAAAAACTCTTCCACTTGTTTAAGACCTTGTTATTTGGGGTCTCTATTACAGTGAAACATACCTCATACCATATCTATCACTTGATAGATACACTTACCAATGCTTCAGACTGGAGTCAAAACTAAATTTCTAAATATTTATTTTTGTAATATGTTTCCTACCCACACTAGTAAATTTGACGGAAGTAAACTATTTTTCAACATTTGAGTTTTTCAGAAATTCCTCCTTTTAACACTAGTCACTTTGAACATCCCCTACCTTTCTCTGTAAATTGTGGGCAATAGTCTTGTTTTCGATGACGGCGCTGCTCTCAAGGCGGACCAGCTGCTCTGTGCGAGCTAAAACAGCATCCAGACGCATGTCAAAGCCAAGTTCAACAGTCATTTGGTCCAATTTCATTTTCTCTGAGAGCTGATCCAGAAATTTAAGATACTAACCCCGAGAACAAAAATGAAAATGAGAAACAAAAGTAAAGTTGATGAGTGATCTCACAGAATCCTTCTCTGCCTCCCAAGCTTACAGGTAGTTCCCTTTAAAACCAGCATTGAGCCTAGACTAAGACCCCCGTATTGCTGGTGAATTCCTGAGCCTGCCAGATCCCTACCCTGGTCCTTTTTCAGATACTCTTGACTCTCCCAATCACTGGCCTTGATGTTCGATCTAATACTATACCCTCTTCTTAGGACGGGTTTGGCTCTGGTCCCAATTACATCATTACATCCTCATCACTCTGCTTTGTCAGGGTTCTGTTGCAACTAGGCCCCTTGCAGGCTAATCCAGCCCTGGGACCCACCCACCCATGTAACTTCCATGGGATTTTCCCCACCTACTAGACCTTTATTAATGAATCAGCTGCCATTTTTATTTTGGGGGCCTCTACAGGTCACTTCAAAACCAAACCTCTCCATATAAATAAAATTGGGACATCCTACTTTTGTTGAGTTAAAAGGCTTTAGAAAAATGTGTTTATTAAATGTTTAATGCATCAAAGTTAAATGATCAAGAAACCAAAATAGGTGGACTCTCCAATAAGTTCATGGAAATGTATAGTATGGTAAAAAAAATAATGCATAGACTTCAGATACTTTTTGCACAAAAATCAATTAATACCTTAATCCCATTTGCCATGAACTTTTTGAAGTTTCTTCATAGAGCTGTGTGAAGGAAGTCAAGGTTCATATTTCAACAGGCTAAAGGTCTGAATCTATTTGAGGGTCTTCCTCCTCTTGAGTTCTAAGGCTTCTCTACCCTCCCCTCCACAAAGAATAACACTTCCTGGATGAGTAAATTCATCGATGGGCTTCCAGCATCATAGTTTCAGGACTTTGGTTCTGTCTTTGATATTTTCTTCTTGCTGCAATAACTTCTCATCCATCTGGCATTTTCAGGTAAATAAATGTTTAAACAACTATAATTTCCTGCTAACTGAAGCATATCAGCGTAAAGCCCAGAATTACCTATATTTTAATCATCAGGATCAAATTATTTGTATGTGTATATTTTCTAGTTTTGTTAGATAGCATACATATCAATACAATTTAATCTCTTTATAAGTCTTAGTCTTTATAAATATCACTTATTATATGGTGCTACAATGGCATAGATCACTTGTCTCCACACCACCAGGTTATCACTTCCAAATGCTATATTAGATCTCCCTTCAGAATTTTTAATTTCTCATCTGTGTGTATAAAGATGATCTAAGTGCTATTGCTTGTATTTTACAAGAAGTTCTATTTTCTTAAATAGAATTGATACCTTTTATGTCAAGGTATGAAAGCCTCTTTTCTTGGTTTTTACACAAGACTCTCACTTGGCATGTAAGGCTCTACAACAGCCAAAAAGGATTCAGACAGGATGAGTCAAGACCTTACAAAAGAAGTGCCTATTTCAAGGATCTCGGCTATATCTCAGAAGATTAGGGCTGCTGGAAACGTTCTACTGCATGGAATTAAAGGATTACTGTATGTTGTGTTCACTTGAATCACCATTTAGCATAAATAAGAAAGTGTGCATTTTACTCTATTTTGTTGCATAAGCCAAGATCACCCGATTTAGCACTTAAACTCTGTACGTTTTTCAGTTTTACATAATTCTACCCTTAGAATGACATGCAGTTATCTAAATAAAAATTCCCCCTGCGTAGAATTTGCTTATATAATTTGCTTCCATAACCGAGAGTTATTTTGTTGTAATCCCAATTAAATGGTTTTCATTTCTACTGAGGGAAGGGAATAGATACCAATCTACCTGAAGGTTTTGCCTTTGATATAGTTCTTCTGTTATTTATTTACTATTTATTGAACAGCTGCAGTAACACATGGTAACATGATGTTCCATGAGGTGGAAGTCACAAGAAAGGTCTGGTCTGTATCCCAAGGTCCCCTGTAAATGCCAGGCACATGTGTGCCCATGAGCCTGATGGATGAAGCTGGTTATGGATCATGGTGTGAAGACCCTTTGGGAGGTGCTTGTGCATGTGTGTGCGTGTGTGTGTGTGTGTCTGTTTCTCTCTTTGTTTTCCTCTCTCATGAAAGAAATTAATAAATAAAAAATAAAATAATAATAGCTGTTACTGTGACTATTATTTCATACCCTGGAGAAACACACACACAAAAAAAAATCCTCCAGCCTCAAAACACTTGGCATATTTGAAGAAACACTGGAAAACAAATCTCGTAAGGATGAGAAGTGCTGGGATGGGGACAAGCACATGCTGTTTGGGGCGAGGGAGGAACTAAGTCTAGGGAGACTGCCAGTGGTTGTGGTATTGGAGCTGAGCCTTGCAGAGATGGTCACTGCAGTGATGAAGGAGAGAACATTCTCTCAACAGAGCAGCGATGTGGGCACAGGAGGCCAGAGAGGTCAGAGAGGTGTGGTCATGAGGGTAAACGTGGGGATCTTGAGGCTCAGCAGTCACCCACTGCAGACACTGTCAGGGTCCTCCTGCCCCTGAAGCCTTCTGAGTTTGCCTCCATTGGCAGGAGAAAGGACGGAAGGGAAGCTGACCAGCTCAAAGAAGGCAAGGCTATGGAAAAAGAGGGAATTTGAAGCCAGCAGGTGGTGCGGTAGCTAAGGTGCTAGACTCCCACATGGCCAACTACTGTTTGAGTCCCTGACCCGGCAGCTTACTTTCTCATTTTCCCCCCTTTTCTCTCTCTCTGTCCCTCTGGTGAGCATATATGCCCTGTAGCAAATTTAAAATAATAACAACAAAGGAACTAGCAGAAGGTATAATGTTTACGTTGCTGACTCCCATGTAGTCGGCCACAGTTCTAGTCCTGGACCTGGCAACTTAAACTCAAGCCAGGTACATGGGCATGCATACCCAAGATCCTGAGAGGAGACTGGAAGAGAAGGGATTACAACGTGGCCATCCCCCCTAGGGGATGATTTCTCTCTTTCTGTTTCTCTGTATCTTTCTGTCTCTCCAGTGAGTGCACACTCCCTATAGCAAAAGAATCTGTCTAAAAAATAACAGTAATGATAAATAAAAATGAAATACGTAATTCTTAAAAAAAGAAAAAGAGAGAATCTTTAACTGATCCTGAGGACCACGGGAGCCACTGACCACTATTAACCCAGAAAAAGGGACGATGAGACAAGTATTTTATTAAGACCTCTTTGGCAGCAGTGGAGACAGTACATTCGAAGTGTGGAAGCCAGAGCAAGGAGACTGGTTAGAAGGCTGTTTCCATAGTCCAAGCAAAGCAGCATGATGCTCAGAGCAAAGCACTGCTACGAGATACAAGACGGGGGCGGTAATGGAGTAATGCAGTGAGGAGGCAATATCTACAGAGTTTAGAACTGAATCAGAAAGCAAGAAGCATTGAGGATAGTTTGGACGAATGGAGAGGTCATTGCAGCTTTAAGGACACTCGGGTGCTCATGGCTATCCAAGCAGAGTTGTCCAGCAGGCAGTTAGATTGCTTTCAATTGGCCACATTACACTCAAGGGCAATATTTCTTTTCAAAATTGAAATTTCAGCACCAGCAAATGGCATAATGGTTACAACACTGAACTCCCACATAGTCGACCATGGCTCATTTCCCAGACCAAGCGACTTAAAACCCACACTGGGTGCATGTGCATGCATGCCCAAGATCCCAAGAGGAGAACAAAAGAGAAGAGATTGCAGCACAGCCATTCCCCCAGCAAGGAGATTTCTCGATTCCTGTCTCTCTGTCTCTCTCTGTGTCTCCAGCAAGTGCATGCGCCCTATAGCAAAAATCTCTCTCAAAATAAAAGAAAAAAAATCAAAATTTCAACCAACACATCGTTTCATATATCTTATAAGAAAGAAACTCCCCTCATCTTTTCAAACTTCTTAGCTCTACCCCAACATCATTCACATAACCACAATGTGGTTCAGACTCCTGTTAGCTTCTGACCCAGACAGTCATCTCTAGCCACTCCAGTCTGCCTTGGAGAAAAATAAATAAATAAATAAAATAAACTTCCTTTTACTCAAAGATCTTCCACGGCCAGCTCACACTACTGTCTCCCCCAGCATGGTGTTCCAGTCTCCTACACCTCGTGTTTCCTGAGCCGTCTTCTCACACCCCTGCTCCTTCTTTGTTCCTGCCGTTCCTTCTACTGAGAATCCCTTCCCATCTCTTCTGCCTGACAGATTTCAACTCCCTCATTAAGGCCACTCTCAAATGTCTCCTCTTCTGTGAAGACGGCTCGTTTCCTCACTCACAAAAAGTTATTACTTCCACCCAATGTCTTACCTCTCCTTGTTATAAAACTAATTACACCTTGATCTGCCTGTCTGACCCACAAGATGATGATTTTCCACAGACACCTTTGGTACATCTTTGTCTTTCCAGCCCTCAATGCAGGCATGGGTGTCCTCAATTTTCCTTTTTTGTTGTTTTTTTTAAAGATTTATTTATTTTTAATAATACATTACTTCCACCCAATGTCTTACCTCTCCTTGTTATAAAACTAATTACACCTTGATCTGCCTGTCTGACCCACAAGATGATGATTTTCCACAGACACCTTTGGTACATCTTTGTCTTTCCAGCCCTCAATGCAGGCATGGGTGTCCTCAATTTTCCTTTTTTGTTGTTTTTTTTAAAGATTTATTTATTTTTAATTATACTTATTATCATGCTTCTTCAATTTTGACCAGAGAGAAACAGACAGAGAAAAGGAGAGTGAGAAAGCAAGTCACCAGGTCCAGGACTTGAACCATGGTCTGCCATGTGGGAGTCCAACACCTCAACCACCACACCACCTGCTGGCCCCTCTTTGCTTTTATTTTTTAAACCAGCAGGCATGTGTGCTTGCCGGAGACAGAGAGAAACTAACAGAGTACCATCACACCACGACCCTCTTTCCATTTCTCTATCCTGTTGGGATTTAGGATTGGGAGCACACACAAACATGAGTCTGGTGTGTTTTCAAGCCACTGAGAACAGAATTCCAACCATATGGTTGGGTATGTGGGATTCAGCTCCCTTAACAAGCCATGAAGCCAGCCCTTTCCATTTTGTTAAGTACAGAGGATGAAAATGAATGAATTCCCCAAGAATAGATTTTTAACCTAAGAGTATTTTTCTTGCCAAATTCTGCACCTACACTCTTGATCTCACTTGCCTTCCTTCCCCTGCCTGTCCTCTCTCCGATGGACTCCTGCAGCCCACACTCACCTCCCGCTCCTGCTCAACAATACCTTCCTTTAATCCTGTTTCCATAGCTACAACATCCTGTCTCTTTCCTCTTTGGTCACCAGAAATCATAGTAGCTTTCTCACAAGTCTCCTCTTCCCTTCCAGGTCACCTCTCAACTCAGAGCAAACTGGCTTCTATTCTCCATCACTCCCCAAAACAGCCTTGTGGTGTCACCAATGATCTCCCCACAGTGAGGTCCTCAGTGTGGACCGCTTCTCTGTCATTCTCTTTGTTTCCGAGTCTCCCCATACTGCAGTCTCAGCTCCACAACAATATCACTTTATCTTCATAAAATACCATGATGCTCACAGTCATTTATTGTTTCATAGTCTGTAGAATAAGGAATACTCCACCTCCATAACCCAAGCCATTACAGTCTTCTCTCTTGCCATACCCCACCAAGAATGCCATGATCTGACCATACAGGATGAACCACTTTGTATTCTCTGAATAGACTATGCTCTTGCAAATTTTCATGCCTTTGTTCAAACTATCTCTCCTACAGTATCTCCCCTTCTCTCCGTTGCAATTCTCCTTAACTCTTCAGAAGAATTTAATTATCTCCTCCCCTATAAAATGTCCTCTTTATCCAGAAATTCCTACAGAATGTTATTAATTCAGTACATCTATTGTAATACTTACGGCTTTGCGGTACAGTAAATTATCTGAATGTCTCCCCAGTTGAACAGTAACTATGCATTATTCACACTAGCTCCCCAAGGCTTCAGGGCTCATATACAACAGACATTCAATAAATAGCTATTGAATTAAATTGAATTAATTTGCATCAAACACTAGGAAGCTTGCCATCATTCCTTGGAATTTGCTCCTGACCCAAATTAATCAATCTAAGTTCTGTAAAATTTAGAAGATTTGCAGGTATAATTTCATTGGCAACAGATGTTTTCACCCATGGACATGCCCTCAGGTTATTACTTTTTGCTTCTCAAAATTCAAGTTGTCTCGCAAAACATCTCCAGAAACCAGCTCTCCCTCCAGGTGTGTCAGCTGCCCCTGAAGAGTCTCCAACTTGTTTTCTGCTTTCTGGGCCCTCTGTAGAGCTTTCTGGTGAAACCCAGACTCATTCCCCAACTGTTCAACAAGCTCGGCTATTTGGGCTTCAAGCTGGGAGACCATCTGGAAGCAAAGAAACAGAACAAGGAAGCCTTGTTTAAGATGCAGCCAAGTGTCATAATCTAGTGTTCAGCCCAAGCAGCCTAACTATTTATGACTTCAACTTCCCAATTCTTTGTCAAAATTAAATTAAAAAATAGGTAATTGATAGCTTTATTTGCCTCTGTTTAGCTAAATAAAATGACACTCATTACTTAATACAATAGTTTGGTATTTTTAATTTTTACATAATTTCTTCCACAAGTTACTCAATAAATAAACTGTACCAAGGATACCCAGATGCAGTGACTCATGTGGGAGGGGTACTGCGATGCCCTACTGGAAGCCATAAGGGTAGCTCTGTGTCTGCATCCAGGTCTACCTAAACAGGCTTACTGTTAACCTTTCCCCAGCCTTGCAGTGTGAAGACTCTGGTGGGAGTGTCACTCTCTCTCTTTCAAAATAAATAAGCTTTTTTTTTAAGAGAGAGAGTTTTGCTATAGGGTGCATATGCTCGCCAGAGAGACAGAGGGACAGAGAAACAGAAAATGAGATATCACTCCCCAAGGGGGGATGGCCATGCTGCAATCTCTTCTCATTCATTCTCCTCTCAGGATTTTGGGCACACACACATATGCCTGGTGTGAGCTTCAAGCCACAAGGTCCAGGACTTGATCCATGGTTGGCCATGTGGGAGTCCAGTGATGTAACCATTATGCCATCTGCTGGTCCCCAAAATAAATAAATTTTTAAAAGAATCTACAAAAGCCTCATTACCCAGAAAAACTCTCCCACCACATATAATTGATTAAAGATTATGGAGTGAGTTCATCGTCTTAAGAATTATTTTTTATTTAACTTTATTATTATTTTTTTTAATTTGACCAGAGAGAGACAGAGAGAGAGAACAAGTGAGAAAGCAAGCCACCAGGTCCAGAACTCAAACCTTGGTCAAATGTGTCAGAGTTCAGCACCTTTAACCATCACAACAGCTGTCAGCCTTCAGTGAATTCATCTTGATGAGTAACCTTGAAGCATTATGGTGAATTGAAGTGCAGAAATACACTTCTTCAAACTTTTTTTCAACCTTCTATTGAGTTATTTATGTCCTCCATTCCAGTGGTACTGGCTGTATACTACAGAGTTATGTAGTAATATTGTTTGAGCATCTTTACTATAGTGATTCTGGATGGAGTCCACGGCAATGTACCGGAAGGCAGAGAATCTGATTACCTTCTCCTCTTCATAGCATTAAATCGTTGCCCCTCCCTGAAAGTCCCCAAAGCTCTCTACAACCCCTCTAATTTGCTTGATGCTTCCACCCTCCCAGTAGCTCCTCCCTTGGTCTAATCGTCCTTTTAAATCGAGAGCATACATTTATCAAACACCTCAGGTACACTTTCAGAATACTTCAGCTGATTTTACAAAATTCAGTTTTCATAAAATGTTGAATTCAATGAAACAATCAAGTCTGAAGTGATACATTTCTTTTCTTTTGATGGTTTATTTTGGAAGAGAACATTTAAAAAGCAGTAGGTGTACATGGCTCTATAATACCATTCTCACAGTAATCGAAGTGTCTTGACTCTCAGATTTTTTTTTACTGTCTAAATTTAAGAAAACAATGTCTTCTTGCCTATTTATAAACAACCATGCTTAAAGGCAAGAAGACATTCAAGTTGTCTTCAATTTTTTTGAAAAGCTATTGTATGGAAGAACAATAAGATTTGTTCTAAGTTGACCTCAGAGTGTATATTGAAGACCAATCAATATAAATCAGAAAGGGAATCCCACATCTATGTAAGGGAGGATTTTCTCCTGACTCCTATAATTATAAAGGAATAAATACCCTTTATAAACTATTCATTAGGGAAAAAATATATGAAGCAAAATATAATCCCCCATGATTTTGCCACCCAGAGGTAAGAACTACTAGTATTTTTAAATTATTTTTCATGCAATATTAAAATATAGTTGAAAATGACATGATGTATGAAACATGTTTGTTTACTTAATTATATTTTAAGCATCTTCTCATGCCATTCAAAATTCTTAATTAACATTTTAATGGCTGCATTAAGAATCAATCATGAGGGACCAGCAGTTAGAGTAATGGCTATGTCGCTGAACTCCCACGTAGTCGATCGTGGTTCGCGTCCCGAACCCGGTGGCTTAAAACTCACGCCAGGCACGTGTGCGTGCGTGCCCAAGATCCTGACAGGAAAATGGAGGAGAAGGGATTGCTGCGTGACCATCCCCCCTGGGGGGTGATTTCTCGCTTTCTATCTCTCTGTCTCTCTCTGTCTGTCTGACGAGCGCACGCGCCCTATAGCAAAAAAAGAAAAATCCTGTCCAAAAAAAAAAAAGAGTCAATCATGAGACTGTGTCATAATTTACTTAAGCATTCTTCTTTTTTTTTTTTTGGAGAGGTTTTTGCTATAGGGCGCGGGCGCTCGTCAGACAGACAGAGAGAGACAGAGAGATAGAAAGCGAGAAATCACCCCCCGGGGGGGGGGCCACACCGCAATCCCTTCTCCTCCATTTTCCTGTCAGGATCTTGGGCACGCACGCACACGTGCCTGGCGTGAGTTTAAGCCACTGGGTCCGGGACTCGAACCGTGGTCGACTACATGGGCTTCCAGTGACATAGGCATTACGCTAACTGCTGATCCCCTTTAAGCATTCTTTTATAAGAAGGATAAACTTTCAAAGGATTACAGTTCTCTAAAGACACTGTCCAGTAGAAACTCCCAGTCAATGGAGGTGGCCAGAGTTGCCCAACTATTTTTTCTATGTACAAGGCTTACCCACTATTCTACAGGATCAGACCAGCTCTAAACACTTGATTATTGTGCTTCTGTGGTTCTCAAGACCCCAGGCTTATGATTCAACTAATTCTAGACTTCTGTGAGTTTGAGGGTAAGCTATTCAGAGTCATGTCTAAGGAATCCATCCAGCTGCCAAAAGTCTGGTGTCCAAAGAGGAAGAGGCAGCTGAGAGCTTCCCTACCCTCTATCGCATCAGAGAGCACAGCTTTATAAATGCTTATTTAGGTGTCAGTGCATGCGATGAGTTTTTTCAGAGCTAATTTACATTGATTTATTCAAATAAATGAACATTCCAATTTCAGCCCTTGGGAACATCAAACCCCAGTGCTTAGGTAAACATATGTGTCCCTGCAAACTGTAAATTTGTATAGTTCTTCACACCAAGAAGTCTAAAAAATAACTACATTTCTCTTTTTTTATTTTCTCTCTCTCGTCTTGTTTTTAAGTATTATATGTTAACATATCCCTGACATACCGTGAGACCAAGTATGCCAGGGATTCCTATTGGCCCCAATAAGATAAGGGAGTGGGTGGCCCATGCGATGTAATAAATGTGGGCCTCGATTTTCTAAACAAAAATGGTACTGATTTAAACTCTACTTTAAGAACAAGCCGTATGGTTTTTGGAAATAAAGTCACGATGCCCTAAAGAAGTTAATTCACTTCCCAAGGACAAGTATTTATTGATTTCAACAGAGAGGCATTTTTTTTTTTTTTTTTTGCCCTAAGATTAAACCAAATAAAAGCAAAAGAGCTCTACACTGAAGAAAGAGCCACTTGGATCACTTAAGAGTCAGTGCCTTTTGGACATAAACAACTCTTTTCTGATTATTCAAGCTATAATTTTCAGTTGGAAAACAGACAAAGTAAGGTATCATGGACCAGGAACTCAACATCAACCAAATTGTCTTTCTGATTGTCAGCATGTTTAGCCAACACAGTTGATTGGCTACCTCACACCCTCTTCTTTGTAGCTTTTGTTATGGGTGGCATTGGGTACCTCCTCAAAGATATGTCAAAGCTCCCCATTACCTCAGGACATGACCTGTTTTAGAAAGAAGATCTTCGTAGAAATGTTCAAGTTTAAATGAGGTCTTAGGGGTTGGGTCTAATGCATCTTTATAAGAGGGGAAATTTGGAGACAAGAACAGGGATGAACAGACAATATGAAGACCCAGATAAAGCACAATTCCTAATCCAAGGAGCACAAGGGTACCAGAACAGGGTGAGACATGGGGAGCAGGGTCTCCCTCACAACCCTCAGAAGGAGTCAACTCAGCCAACACCTTGACTTCAGACTTTTAACCTCCAGAACCGTAAGACAAGGACTTTCTGTTGCTTCATCCCCAGTGAGTGGTGGTTTGTTACGACAATCCCAAGACACTCCTACATCTAGAGAGGCTAGGAAAGTCGATCTTTTATCTGATGCATCTCCCAGAGGGCCTTATAGCCAGGGGTGACCAAGTAACATGATTTGATTTTAGAGATTTTTATCTTAGGACATGTGCACTAGCCAGACAGAGAATGTTTAGCCAACACAGTTGATTGGCTACCTCACACCCTCTTCTTTGTAGCTTTTGTTATGGGTGGCATTGGGTACCTCCTCAAAGATATGTCAAAGCTCCCCATTACCTCAGGACATGACCTGTTTTAGAAAGAAGATCTTCGTAGAAATGTTCAAGTTTAAATGAGGTCTTAGGGGTTGGGTCTAATGCATCTTTATAAGAGGGGAAATTTGGAGACAAGAACAGGGATGAACAGACAATATGAAGACCCAGATAAAGCACAATTCCTAATCCAAGGAGCACAAGGGTACCAGAACAGGGTGAGACATGGGGAGCAGGGTCTCCCTCACAACCCTCAGAAGGAGTCAACTCAGCCAACACCTTGACTTCAGACTTTTAACCTCCAGAACCGTAAGACAAGGACTTTCTGTTGCTTCATCCCCAGTGAGTGGTGGTTTGTTACGACAATCCCAAGACACTCCTACATCTAGAGAGGCTAGGAAAGTCGATCTTTTATCTGATGCATCTCCCAGAGGGCCTTATAGCCAGGGGTGACCAAGTAACATGATTTGATTTTAGAGATTTTTATCTTAGGACATGTGCACTAGCCAGACAGAGACAGAGACAGTGAGAATAAAAGTGAGAAATCAACTCCTGGGGGGGTTGGCTATGCAGTAGTCCCTTCTCCTCCACTCTCCTCCTGTTATCTTGGGCATTCGCACACATGCCCCTCACATGAGTTTCAAGGCACTGGGTCTGGGACTCAAACCATGGTCAGCCATGTGGGAGCCCAGAGAACTAACTGCCACAGCATCTGCTTGCACTGTGTAATATAATTTTAAACAATGAAATGCCAGTGGAAGACTTCTGGGGTTTCTGGGAGATGTGTGCCTCAACCAGTGGCAGGAGTAAGAGCAGAGGAATGGTGATTGGGCTCAGAGATAAGGAAGCACAGGCCCTGGGGCAGCAGGGGCAGGGAATGGAGCACAGCCCAGGTCCTTCAGGCCATCAGGCTGGGTCCCAGGCTGCCCAGAGGCCCCAGGTGAGGAAATCCTCCAGAGAGTAAACAAAGATGTAGATGTGCCTAAAGAACAAAAACTGTCCAGACAAATGTTTGTGAGCGTGTATCGTTTATCTTTCATTTAGAAAATGACGTGGACATTGATTGTGGCCTCAGCCTCTCTCTACACAATCGATTACACAGATGATTAGCCAGTGGGGAAACATCTAAAAGTAAGAAAAAAAAAATACCCCAAAATTCTAAAGTCAAGTATGAAAATGTTGCAACTTTCTCTTATTGTGCAAGTCATTATTTCATAAATACCTGCTCTGGTGTCCAGAAAATTTCAAAGTTCAATAACATCTAAAAACTCATGTAAAATTCCTGGGAACCTGACAATAGGCCAGGTTCTAAGACAGTGGTTTTCAACTGAACCATATCTGGCCCCTCGGGGGACATGTCACAATGTCTGAAGACATCTGTGATCTTCACAAATCAGGGAAGACGGTGCGACTGGTCACTAGTGAGTAAGGGCCAGGGATGCTGCTAACCATCCCCCAGTGCACAAGACAATCCCAAGGATGACAGATTATCAAGTCCGAAGTGCCAGTAATGCTGAGACCCAGAAATCCTGTTCGAAGATATAATAACAGTCGAAAAAGAAAATTGAATTTGGCCAGAAGGAGAAAAAGCAAGGGATGAGTGAAAATGACTTACTGACAAAGGATGGGTGTGTCCTGAATTCTCCTGAGAATTGCAAATAAAAATAGATAGCAAAGGGGAGACAGGAACGGCAGCACGCAGTAGGGAGGGACTGGCCTGAAATGGAGGCTCTGCCAGGCCACACCTGAACCGGCCACTGGCAGTTATCTCGGGGCTGCTCTTGCCCTGTGTGTGCAGCCATGGCAGCTGGCAGGGCTAGGCACCCTCCCCAGCCAACAGACTCACCTATCTGAGAAGCTTCTGTTCTCCAGAAACATTTCTAAGATAATATATGAAATCCATTTTTTCCTGGTTTTACTTGAAGATGAATCACACAAGAAACCAGCTATATACTTCATTTCAGGCTTTTAAATAGTGAGAGCAGCTATTGAAAAAAATTATGGGGTAGAAACGGCAGACAAAGACACTAACAAGACTGAATCGTTCTGATTTTTATGGACAGTGGGGGAAGGCATGTCCAGCTTAACCAATTTACATCATTTTCCTTTGGAAAATGAACATATACATCATGCTGACAATTGCATGTCATGCTTTACATGGTGGAATTAAAATAATTTTAGGAAAATACTTGGAACCACGGAAGGGCAAGCCATCAACGGAATGACAAAAACTCGTTGGCTATTGAAGTACATCAGCTACCATATAAGGTAAATAACAACAGAGTTTTTCTCAAGTCTGTAAAGAATGTCCTTCTGTAATGAAGTACTTCTATGTAGACTGAATCTCAAGAGAAACGGAGTTACTCTTAGAGACCCACATGCGTCACAGGATGGGGGTCAACCAATGAGCCTCTGTGTGTAATTTTTTTTTTTTAATTTGCTATAAGGTGTGTGTGCTTGCCAAAGAGTGACAGAGAGGAAGGTAGAAAGAGAAAATGAGAAAGCACCCACACACACACCATGGGGGATGGCCAATCCCCGCTCCTCCATTCTCCTCTCAGGATTTTGGACACACACGCATGTACCCAACATGTTTCTCAAGTTGCCTGGTCTGGGATTCAAACTGCAGAATCAGCCATGAGGTATCCAGTGCTTCAAACACCATGCCACCAGCTGGTCCATATTTTGGAGAACTTTTAAAGGGAATTTAATTGTTTTGATTACTAGAGAAAATTTACAAATGTAACCCTGAACGTAACTTCATCAGCCATCACTCTGAATCCTTCAGTAACATTAAAGGGTGGGAAAGTATTTCCTCTTTTTGAACAAGCATGAAATCTACAGAAGAAAGACTAGAAAATGGAATTATACACAGAAATTATTTTGAAATGTCATTAATTAGACTTCAATTATTTGGATTGAACAATTTAAACTGTCTGGGCTGAAGTTTGACCCTGCTGAGTAAAGCTTTATGGCAAATGAGAATTATTGATAATAGAAACAAGATGACAAAATTAAACAAGTTTCAATCTGATATGTGAGCAGAATTATTTGTCTCCACTTGTTAAACAGGTTTCCTAAAAGACCGTTCTGGGCTTGGCCCATCACGGCAAGGAGAAGAGGAAGAGGGGACAGGAGCAGGGGGACAGGCAGAGGCAGCACTAGTGGGTATGAGTGCTTGTGACCTGCTGGATAGTGTGTGTGAAGAACTTCACCGCAGTCTTCAGCATTTTCACACTCACAGAGAGAACCACGGGAGGCAGACACGGTTCCAGGTCTAGGAACCCTTATCTGCCATTTCAAAATCCAGGGTTTTTCGCAACTCATTTACTGACAACGCGTGGCCTGACTTGATCCGGCCGGGCAGCAGGCCCTGACGCCACCAGGTGAGACGATCTATATAGTCTTCGTCTCTCTCCTGTGCCATGTGTGGAGGTGGCTGCTGGGGGGTCTGCCCACATCACTGGGGGGCGGGGGTGCTGCATGAGGCTCTCTGGGGTATTGTCTGTGCACTGGCTGCCCCTTCTAAGTCCTAAAACATGCTGAACTCAAAAACACACTGGGCCCCAAAGATACGGGGTTGTGAACCCTGTGCCATCCCCTTAGGAGACACGGAAACCACTAAGTCCTAAAACATGCTGAACTCAAAAACAACTGGGCCCCAAAGATAAGGGGTTGTGAACCCTGTGCCATCTCCTTAGGAGACACGAGAACCGAATCTGGGTGGCAGTGATCTCGGGAACCTGGCCAAGCTCGCACGCCCGGTGAGAGTGTGCGGCGGAGGCAGGACTCGGCACCAGAGAACTTGGTCGAACCCACAGCAGCCGCCCACTGTCTCCTGGTGGCTCCAGCCTTCATAAGTAACCTACCTGTGTTACCGAAAGAAAATCACACTCAAATTATCCTTTCGACTAATTAACACAAATCACTTAATGAGTATGCTAAATAAATGAGTTTACCTTTTTTTTTTTTTTTTTTTTTTTTTTTTGTGAGGTGCTATAGGGAACTTGTACTCACTGGAAAGACAGCAAGAAATCATTCACTCCCCAGGGGGATGGCCACTCCACAATCCCTTCTCCTCTAGGGATTTTGGGCACACATGCGCATGCACCCAGAGTTGACTTTTAAGTCACCAAGTCTAGGGCTTGAACTGCAGTCAACTACGTGGGAGTCCAACAACGTAATCACTATGCCATCTGCTGGTCCCAAGTTTACCATTCTTAAGTAGCTTATCATGGGGTTGGCTTTTTGTCACAGTGGTCAGGTACTGCTCAAGTGAAACTGGACCCCACAAGGTTAGTTCAAATCCCTGGCCCAGTCACCCTGGAACACAGCAGGCATGCACACGAGTGCCCAAGGTCCTACAGGCTGGAGGACTGGAGGAGGGGTGGTCTGCTATAACTAGACCCTGTGGAGGGTGCCCCTCTCTCTCTCTGTCTCTGTCTCTCTCTCTCTCATAAGCATGCACACACACTCTGTCACTAATAATTTTTTTTTTTAAATAGAAGCATAGCCATTGCCCACTTACCTTTTTTCTCTTTTCTTCCTGGCTGCCCATTTCTCGAATTCTCTCCAAAATGGCATCCTCTGTGGAATCAGTCATGCCTGGCTTGCCCCAAAGAAGGGCAGCGATTCTCTCCCTGAAGGAAGAATACTGGCTTTGTAAGGTCGTGGTGGCATCCAGACTGGCGTTCAAACTCTTCTGCAGCTCCTGAGCGCGTTCCTTCAGGAGGTTCAGCTCCTGCTTCGAGGTATCCCAGACCCGCTGGCCAGCAAGCAGCCTTTCTTGGAAGATCTTCGCTTCCCTTTCAAGAGCTTCTTTTGCTTCAACAGTACTGAGCAAGTCCTACAGCAGTCACAGAGAAGGAAGACGCTGCACTGGCAGTCAGCAAAGTACCTAGTACTCAGTGGAGCAATTTATTTCCCCTGCTTGCTAATGACTTGGAAGAGTTAGGATTAAATGCCATTCCATTTTTAATTAGAAGTTCCCTACTGTCTCTTCATGAAGTTGTTAAATTATAAAGATTATGTAAGGGACAATTTGTTCAGGAAAATGGGAAAGGGATGTAAAATCCGTGTTTGAAAAAACGAAACTGGGCTGGCCCCATAGCTTAGAGGTTAAGGGAGTCAGATTCCACATGCCGACCACAGTTGAAATCCCAGCAGATTGAAAAGCATGCCAGGCACATATGCATGTGTGCCCAAAATCCAGACAGGATAGAAAAATGGAGGGAAAGGGATTACAACTTGACTATGCCCCACTGTGGGGGGAGGGGCGTGCTTTTTCCCTCTCTGTCTCTATGGCAAGGACAGAGCCCTCTGGTGATTATTTTTTTAAAGGAAACTGACACATACACCTTTGCTTTGCTTTCTCTTCTTTTTACTGTTCTTTCGTTCATTCGTTCATTCGTTCATTCTTTCTTTCTTTGTTGCTTTATCTATTTGTAATGATTTTTAAGCTGCTGAGCCTGGGACATAAACCCTAGTCAGCCATGGGGGAATCCATCATCTCAACCACCACACCACCTGCTGGCCCACAAACATGCCTTTTCTATGTGTACCTTAGGAAAACATTAATAAAAACTAGTAATTGACAAACACATTAATAGAGTCAATCCATACATAGACTATGTTTAAAAACTATCAGTTCTCAAGCTTGATATATGTAAGAATTGGTTCTAAATAAACTGAAATTCTCAGCACCTTATGTAGACACTAAAAAATACTAAATATGCCTCCTTAACAGTATTTTAGGGGCCAGTAGGTGGCACAGTGGTTAAGGAACTGGACTCTCATGAAGCCAACCACTGTTTGAGTCCCGGTTCTGACAGCTTGAAACTCATACTGAGCACATATGAGTATGTGCTGAAAATTCTGGAATGAGAATGGAGGAGAGGGGAATTGCAGTGTGGCCATCCCCCCTGGAGGAGGGAGTGTGATTTCTCACTTTCTGTCTCTCTCTATCTCTCTCTCTCCAGTGAGCACACATGCCCTACAGCAAAAGTGTAAAACAAACAGTATTTTAAGTAACAGAGTAGCAGTCTCATAAAGACATCATTACATAAAGGAAGACCAAATCTTTCTTTCAATAATCACTGACCGTGTACTCTCTTATCTCCTAAAGGCAAAAGGAATACTGGTGGAACCGGAAGAAAGGAGGCAGGAATAACAGCCATTTGGTGGGTGGGAGGATGGAAAGTAGCGGGAGGTAAAGTGTTAGACTGAGAAAAAGAACCCTAAAGGTGTGTAATTCGTTTCATAGAGATCGTTCAGGGTAGAGAGTAGGTTACCTGAGCACCTACTTCTATTTGCCATAGTCTAGAATGGTCCAAAGAGGTGTAAAAGGGGGATCTTTAAAATAAATTTAAACAAAAAAAATCATCCCTTAAGATCAAGTTCACAAATAAATGAAGTCACATCAAATAAGATTAAGCAGCTGATTAACCAGTATTGCTATAGTATCCCTGCCAAGTTAACTGGCAAAGAAAAATTGGATTAAAAATAGCATTCAGGAGGCCGGAAGGTGGCATGGTAGTTAAGGCTCTGGACTCCCACATGGCCAACCAAGATTCAAGTCCCAGACCCTGCAGCTTGAAAATCACACTAGGTACATGTGTGTGCCCAAGATCCCAGAAGGAGACTGGAGAAGAAGGGAGTACCGGCCCTCCCAGGGGATGACTTCTCACTTCTCTCTGCCTCTTACCGTTTCTCTCCACAAGTGCACGTGACTTATGGCAAAAGCCTAAAAACTTAAAAAAAAAAGAAAAAAGCACTGGGGCAAAAAGCACTGAACAAAACACAGTGTCTTTGAATAAGAGGCTTTGCATAAAAATGGGCTGATAACATTATAGGCTCCTAGTTACAAAGCAATCATTTCTTTTGCTTCTGCTGAAGAAAGTTAGCTGAAAAACATAACATCTCACTTTTTTTCTTATGACTTTTTTTTTTAATTAAGGAAATCTCTGGCATCAATTTGAAAGAAAAGTCACAGAACCATCAGGTAGTTAGCCTGCCCTTTTCAGATGCAATAACTAAACTAATTATGGGCCTCTTTTGGACAATGCCTTGCTGTTCCAGTCCTTGGTCTCAACTTCTGCTTTCTAAACTAGTCTCTGTAGTGAGCCCCCTACCCACTCTATTCATTTAAACATCATCATTAAAGTCAAAGATATCATACTTCATTGCAAATACAGTATCTTAACAATTTCCAGATTTCTCTCCAGATAGTAATCCAATAGCTTCTCAATTACTCCATTAGAGGAACCAGTGTCAGCATTGGCAATAATGAATTGGGCCCATATTTTACTTAGAAATTATACTCTAGGCCAGACCCATAGTGCAGCAGTTACGAACTGTACAGAGACAGCCAGGATTCCACGTGTCTGACAGCGGTTTGAATCCCACCCTGGCAGCTTGAAAAACATGCCAGGCACATGCGATGTGCCCAGAATTCGGACAGGATGGATAAATGGGAGCAAAGAATTGCTGCATGACCAAGTTCCATTGGGAGGTGATTTCAATCCTTCCCTTCCCCTTCAAAAAAAACCTCGTGCACACACACATGCATGTGCCCTCTGACATATAATTTAAAGTAAAAAGAAACAGCAATCTAATATGCCTTTAGGAAATCAAGGCTGTGGGGCCAGCCAGTGGCATGGAGGTAGAGGAGGTTGGATTCCACGTGGCTGACTGTGCAGCAGAGGCCCAGACCCAGACTTAAAAAAATACTTGCAGAGTGTCGGCAGGTGGCGTGGTGATTCCAATGCTAGGATCCTACATGGTGGACCATGGTTTGAGTCTTGGACCCAGTGACTTGAAAATCATGCTGGACACATGTGTGTGAGTTCCTAAAATCCTGAGAGAATGGTGAAGGAGTTGAGGGGCAGCCATCTCCCCGGGGGGGTGATTTCTCACTTTCCCCTCTCTCTCTTTGTCTTGCTCCAGCAAGCCAATGCACCCTCAATTAATTAAACAAAAAAGAAAATAAGAAAGAAAATTAAGGTCCTAAATTCAATGGTGCAGAGATTAAAAAAGCTGAATTCTAATGACCAGTTCTAAAAACATATTAACTATTATATATATTAACTCTTATATTGAAAGAAAACCTCTAATACAACGTGGAGAAACTTTCCATGGTCAATAGAATAATATTTTTGACCCATTATTTCCAATGGACCCTTAAAACATACCCAAAAAAGTCAGATGTTTGAGCATTATGGATTCACATCAGTTTGAAATAGACTAATCCACTGACCACTATCACCAGGAACTCAGTAAACACAATCTCACTATTTCAGCTGTGAGGGATTATCAGCCTCCCTCCCCCATCATACTATTGTTTCGCTGGTTTAGAGACTACGGCCAATATAATCCTCGCTAACAAATCAGAAGCACTTTTTCCTTTGAAGCCTAAGCACCAACCCTAATATCTAATAAAAATCACAGAAGTAGTTTGTGACCACAGAATACAGTGGTGCCTGTTAGCAGGTCAGATTTCTATTTTCTGGACACAGTCTAGTGAGCTCCAAGCTGTTCTTGTATGAGATGCACGACTCCAGAGCCAGTAACAGGGCCTTGGGGACAGCCGCTCCCCCAGAGCTCTGATAAGTGCTTCAGGATTCAGGGGCACTGGTTTTAGCTGCTGGAAATAGATGTCCGCAGACAGTAAATGCAATTACCTGTCTGCTCTCAGCAGAAAGCCAGAGTGGAGTCTGGCTGCGTGGCTACCCCAAGGACACACTGGAGCACACGCGTAATGTGACATGGGGACCGTCGGCTAGGACCTGGGACCGCTGTCAGACCACACTGACGCACAGGAGAAGAAATATGGTGCTTCCTCTGAGCACAACGGGGCTGACGTCCACAGAGGAAATTGCATTTGTGAATGAGGGCAGGCTCTGCGGACGGTGGTGAGGACCGTGTTAACATTTCTTTCTGTAATTAACAAATCTCTAGATTCGATATAAAGCAGCAAATGGATAATGGCTCCTTCACAGTAACTTTTAACAAAAACATTTAGAAGTAATATGATCACAGCATTCAATTTAGCTTTCCAATTAAATGTGTGAGTCTGTAATAAGTAATAAAGCCACTCAAAGTCTGTGTTTTTAAAACACAATTGATTCCTATTAGGATGTTGCTAACTACATATGGATTTAGATGTGCAGGAGGTCAAACTGTCTCTCAAAAATACACTGACTTGGGACCAGCAGATGGCGTAGTGGTTACGTTGCTAGACTCCCATGTAGTTGACTGCGGTTCGAGTCCCAGACCTGGCAGCTTAAGATTCACACTGGGCATGTGTGTGTGCCTAAAACCCTGAGAGGAGAGTGGAGGAGAAGGGATTTCAGCATGGCCATTCCCTCTGTCTCTCTGTATCTCCAGAGAGCTCATGTGCCCTATAGCAAAAATCTCTCTCAAAAACAAAAAACAATTACACTGGCTAATCATCAACAAGGTGGAGAACTTCTGCCTCGAGCACAATTCTTTCAATCCTAGATCTATTTAATAAAATGAAAAATCAGTCAATTAATCTAACTACTGCAGTTATAGTTAACAAACTCAGTAATTCCCCCCAAACAGGTACTCTCATATAAACATTGCCAGTAGAAGTGTGAAAATGCATAATTTTGGTACAAATTTTTAGTATAAACACCTAAGAAAATTGAATATGCACATATCTTTTAACACTTCAATTCCAGTCCTACGAATGTATCTATAGGAGACATTAGTAAATATGGATAACGAGGTAGAGGCAAAATCATTCCGTTATAATATTGTATGGTGAAAGATTAGGCAGCACCCAAACATACATTGATATGTAACAGATTAAACCAATAGAAATAT